ATCACTAAAGTTAAATTAGCCTAAGTCTTTCTTTGGCCTGCGCTCTGGAAGTGATCTGTTAAATCTAATAAACTTGAATTACTAAAACTAAAACTGAAACTAAACTATATAAAAACTAAATACAAATTTGTTCACAAAATAAAAAATAAACTAAAACTAAATTATTCATGAAACTAATAAAAACTAATCTAAATTTTATTGCAAATTTGAAAATGATATTAACATAAAACAACTTTAAAAATGCTAAACTATAATAACCTTAGTCTCCAGCAACATATCCAGTTTTTGTTATTGTTCGATTTTTTTTGTTTTCTGCAGCGACTCAGAGCACTTTTCATACCCTTTTTTCTGGCTGAAGCACATTTGTTTCAATCTATAAGAATAATCAGCCTGCACTACCAGTCAAAAGTTTTTGAACAGTAAGATTTTTAATGTTGTTGGAATTTTTTTTATTTTTTTTTTAAGAATTCTCTTCTGCTCACCAAGGCTGCATTTATTTGAGCTAAAGTACAGCAAAAACAGTAAAATTTTGAAATATTTTTACTATTTAAAATTGCTTTCTATTTTGAATAGATTTTAAAATGTAATTTATTCCTGTGATCATACATAGCTAAATTTTCAGCATCATTACTCCAGTCTTCAGTGTCACATGATCCTTCAGAAATCATTCTAATATGCTGATTTGCTGATTATCAATATTTAAAACAGTTGAGTAAATTTGTTTTTCAGGATTCTTTGATGAATAGAAAGATCCAAAGATCAGCATTTATCTGAAATAAAAAGCTTTTGTAAAATTATACACTATTCCATTCAGTATAATTTTTATACATTTTTTGGGAAAGAAATTATAGAAATTAATTTTATTTAGCAAGGATGCTTAAAATTGAACAAAAGTGATGATAAAGGCATTTATAATGTTACAAAAGATTTCTATTTCAGATAAATAGTGTTCATATCGATATCGGAATTATATCGTATCGACCGAAATTAAGAAATATATCGTGATATAAATTTTGGCCATATCGTCCAGCCCTAGGTCTCCGCAAACTGAGTCTGAAATTTTCGTATGCGTTTTTTTGTATTTGAAATCCTATAAATTAGTCATGCACAGAAACCTTGCACACTGAGTTCGATGCGTATTAATTAATCCGTTGCGAAACAGCACTAAATGGAGTCTTCAAGCAGTGAGGATGATTTTGTTGTCCTCTCGCTTCTTAAAAAAAGAAAAAAAAGAAATATTGGGTCCATCCAATCCTGTGATAGAGAGGAAGGAGAGTTCCCCTCGTTATTAAGTAGCAGCGGGATTATCACGGGCGATTCAAAGTTTACTTCAGGATGTCAGTGGCTCAGTTTGATGCTTTTGCATATTAAAAAGAAGACCACCAATTTCTGTGAACTCAGTGGGCAAGGATCTATATACAGTGATTTGCGCGCTATGAGACGAAGTGGATGAACTTGACAATCGCCATTTTGGATTTTGTCGTTCGCTTGTACGGTGGCTCTGAACTGTCAAAACACCTCTCAAAATGCTTGTTACGGAATGCGAAAAATGGAAAAAATCGAACCCGATCCGAATTTTTTTATGACGGACAAATATTTCGGAGGCATTGTGTGTAAACGTGATTGACATAACGTGAGGTCGTATTTATTTTTTAACGTGAGAAAATTTCGGACTCAGTGTGCAATGACCTTTAGACATCTGGATCATCTTGAAAAAGAAGACGGCTTACCAGAATTTGAGCGCATCCTTTGCTCTCGGGTCACCGAGTTGTCGCACACAGTGAAACGTGCAGAGAAAACTCTCCAAACACTGAAGACTGACCTGAAATCAGAGAAAAACAAAGTGATTTGCGCGCTATGAGACGAAGTGGATGAACTTGACAATCGCCATTTTGGATTTTGTCGTTCGCTTGTACGGTGGCTCTGAACTGTCAAAACACCTCTCAAAATGCTTGTTACAGATGCGAAAAATGGAAAAAATCAAACCCGATCCGAATTTTTTTTATGACGGACAAATATTTTGGAGGCATTGTGTGTAAACGTGATTGACATAACGTGAGGTCGTATTTATTTTTTAACGTGCGAAAATTTCGGACTCAGTGTGCAATGACCTTTAGACATCTGGATCATCTTGAAAAAGAAGACGGCTTACCAGAATTTGAGCGCATCCTTTGCTCTCGGGTCACCGAGTTGTCGCACACAGTGAAACGTGCAGAGAAAACTCTCCAAACACTGAAGACTGACCTGAAATCAGAGAAAAACAACAACATACATCTCTGTTATGAAGGAGATTTGATTTCACAGACGAATTAGATGTTTGCATTTTCTGAAGTATAGACACTTGGTTAGGAGTTTGATCAAACATATAACTTCTGAATGATGGTAAAAATAGGGCTGATTTAATTGAGCAAGCACCAGAAAAATGCTCTTGCAAGGCAGCTTTGTGCACTTTAGTAGTACATCAAATGAGCAATAAATGTATTATATTTCTACACAAACGTATCAAAATGAGACACGCATTGATTTTGGCCAGTTTTGATCAGCAAGTCTTTTCCTTCATTCAGTCGACCAGTGAGCTCTCAAAACACCCAAAGACGTCTCTGTTTCTCCATTTACTGGAACAGACACAGAATAATCACATTAAATGGAGCAACTTCCACTCATATGAGTGAGTAAGAGGTCAGACGCAGGAAAACGTACTACAGCTGCTGCATCTACATGAGTGTGGCTGTGCCTCAGATCACATACTACACATACTACCCAAAAGCAATAAAATAATATAAATAAATAAATAATAGATAGATAGATAGATAGATAGATAGATAAATACATTTATTGTTATTATTTATTTGTTTGTTTGTATTTTGGGTTAAAATATGACCCTTGATAAATTCTTAACTGGTTTTGTGAGGTTCATACATAGTAGTAGTAGCATTATGGATGAATCTTATGAAGTCTGTCAAGAACTTGTCAAGGGTCATATTTCAATCAATCAAATCAATCAATTAGGGCTGTGCTGTAATGAAGAAAAATGCGATACCTTGTTAAAAAAATGCGATATTCGATATGCGATACGATAAGTGTGTAAAATCTATTTAAATTATATTTTTAAATATTTAAAAATTAAATAACAAATTTGTTTCACATTCTTTCTTGGAAAAGAAAGAATCACTATAACTTCTGAAAGTGACCAGCAGTGTTTTAGCATTACATAAAAAGTAATGTCACAAATCAGAAAATTTCATTTTAACATCAATGTGAACATACAAACAAAAAAATGAATGACACTAATTTTATATCATTGTAACTTTGCTTTCCATACACTGTATGGATACTAATACCGTACTTCTTCATATACCACAGCAAAAACTATAGTCCGAGAAAGTTCAAACATGATTAAAGGCAAGTGAACAGTCAGTAAAAAAAAATAAAGAAAAATAAAAATAAATAAAGAAATACACAATTTACAAGCATAGATAAAATAAACAGTAGTATTCAGGTACAGAAATGTAATAATTAAGTGTAAAATAACACTGCATAGTGTTCACTGTATTAATTAAATTTAGATTAATCTTTGTTATAGCCGTTTTGTTGTTTGATTAACATTAGTGACATATTCAGCAGCACGTATTTATAGGCTGCTGTCCCTTTAAAACCGACTGCACGGATCCAGTATAATAATACACATCTGATTTCTATCTGAGCTGTTTACATTCATTTAAAACATAACCGACTGCGTTTACGAGAATGATCGTCGAGACGGGTACTATTGACATAATTCTGTGTGTTTGTGTCTGTTCAAACATAAGGAGGAGATGCGAAAGACGAATCAACTCTGTGTTCACGTGTCGTCTGAAACGTGTCTCTCTGTGTGTGCGTGCGCGCGCGCTTTGCACGTGTGCGGCAGAACTGAAGAGACCCTGTTCGAGATGCGGCTTGTGCGCGCACTTCAGGTGTGAGTCAGCAAGACGAGACGGCAAAGAGTTGTTTTCTGCAATTTATTGCACTTAACTCTTTTTAACGTCAAGCAATTCTCTGCTATGTGTGTCGAACTAAAACTTTGACCTTTTGCAACATTTTGATTAAAGTAGCCTATTATTAAAATTATAATGATATCGCACGCTGTTGCGATATGCATATTGCGATATTTCGATATATCGTGCAGCCCTACAATCAATCAATCAATCAAATAAATAAATAAATAGTATTCTTCATTCATTGTCATTATGATTATTTATTTATTGTTTAATTTATTTTTCACTATTGTGTTGAAAGACGACTCTTGACAAATTCTTGACAGATTTTTTTCATCCATATTATTATGGATAATAATCACATGATCTGTCAAGACAATCTGTCAAGATTTCTGAGAAAGGTCATATTTTAACATCATTATATATACAGTGGTGTGAAAAAGTGTTGGCCCCCTTCCTGTTTTTTTAATTTTTTGCATATTTGTCACACTTAAAAGATTCATTTCATCAAACTAATTTTAATATTACACAAAGATAATGCAAGTAAATATAAAATGCAGTTTTTAAATGATTATTTCTTTTATTAAGGGAAAAAGTTATATTAATAATACTACTAATAATAACCTTTTTTTTGCATTACTGTTAATGATGCATCATTTAAATGATAAAATACCTATACATCTGAAATCACAGGCATGTCTGGAACGTCTGATCTTCCCAGGATTTGCATTTGCAGACGACCGGTCACCTGACCCTTTTAACTAGTAACCGTGGGGGATGTGCGTTAATGCGGTCACAGGCTTGACAGCAGCTCTGACTGATCCTCCAGCTCTCAGACCGCACGCGCGCGTCTGCGGGAATCGCTTCACTAATCCACAGCTCCTACAAAATCATTTCATATGAACAAAACTGATAAAAAAACAGGTAACAATGGTTGCCTGAGATGCTTTGATCAATCCTTAAACTGCTGCACTGACATGCTTCATCACTTACAAACTCATCATTGAACTATTGAAATTATTAAGTTTGGGTTAATAATCATGGTAAAATATACAACCACATAGGGTTGCAAAGTAGGGATGCACCGATACCACTTTTTCCAGTACTCGCCCGATACAGATCCTTTTATTTTTGGTACTTGCCGATAACGAGTACCGATACCGATACTTTTATTGCATTTGTACATTTTTTAAATATTGGGTACAGAAACCAAAAGGGTATGTATAATGTTAGTTGGTTAACTTCACTTATCAAATAGATACAGTCAAACCAAAATTGATTCAGAAACCTTCAACATTTATCACATTATAACAGTTTATTCGCTATAGTTTAGAAAATGGTAATACAATATGACAAGAACCGTGTCAGAACAAATTCAGCTTGATAATGTTAGATAATTTTGATAGAAAGGTATGTAATAGATTGCAATCAACCAAAAATTATTCAGACAGCTGTTAGTATGACAGTATTTACACAACTATGAATACTTTGTCGGGCAACCTTTAGCCTTAATGATA